AACTTCACACCATTCTAATTGGACCCAGGGATGTCTAAGGTAGTGATAAACCTCATTCAGATCAAGAATGATCTAACCGAAGTAGTGGACCAACTGTAACATTTTATAGTTTCAAATCAATTTGAGCAGGCTTAATCCCAGGTAGAATTTAGGAACACATGTGATGGTTTCAATCTTTCCAAACATGTCTTTTTAGATTACTAAATTATAGTGTATGTTTTTTTTTTGCAACTTGAATATTTTTCTATCTTTTCTTAAGCCTATGGAAAGATGTAACCTATAATTTAAAGATCAGAGACATTGATGCAGCCACTGAAGCTAAGCATAGGCTCGAGGAAAGGCAAAGAGCTGAAGCCAAAGCCAGGAAAGAGAAAGAGATTCCATGGGAAACAAGGGTAAGTTTACATTCAGAAATCATTTCCTATGTTAAATCCTTTTGCTCCTATGAAATTGTTAATGAGTACTTTTCTTCTACAGCTGTTCCATGAAGATGGAGAATACTGGGTTTATGATGAGCCTCTACTCAAGCGACTTGCTGCCAGTAAATATTAAGCAGGCCAAGCCTGTGAAGTTCAAGCCTTGACTTAGTGGCACCAATTGTAATGTTCAAAGGACTCTTCTTTTGGAGAGCCTGTCTCCTTCAGTTACAGTTCCTATCTCAGGGATACTGGACTTTCTCATGCAGTGAACAATTAAAACAGGAAGAGCCCTGACTGTGTAGCAGTAATTTATATTAGCCTTTTCTGTCTGATCTCCTATGCTTCTAGGAGAATAAAACCAAGGCTCAAGCTAGGCATACATACTAAGCATTGCTGTAAAAGGTGCAATGAGGCATGTGCCTCATACATAGGTTTCTGGCATTTACACCATACATTCACATGGCTTCACTTATTTAGAACTTGTTAATTTCTATGTAAATATGAGGACTTCTTTTGCCAGTTTAGAAAATTCAAGATCGCATTTAACAAATAATAATAATGGTAGTAAAAAAATCTGGCATTTGTTTGCCCAAAAAACTCTTTGAATTTTTAGAAACAGAAATGTAATTATAGATTACCATTTGATTCTTGCAGATGCATCTTTAATGCTTCATAAAATGGATTTTCAAAAGTATGCAGTGTTTTATTTTAGAGAAAATCATTTGCAGTCTAAAACACTTTGCTATAAAGATGTTCAGGACAAGTCAATCCTGTTCAGCAGAGATATTAATTTGGAAAATTCAGTTGCCCATATCATGTACTGATTTATATCCTGAATAACACAGAATGAAGACTTAAGTCACCCGTTGCTACTATTTACTGCACATCTGTTTTATCTTAAGGACTTTTGTCCAGACACCAACAAGTGATCACAGCGAGGTCTGTGCTATTTTATTCAGAAGCTGATGATAGCTTTAAGCTGCATGATCTGACTTTATAGATCTGTTCTTCTTTTCCTCGGCCCCATGATAACCCAGTTTAGCTCAAAGTTTAAAAATAAAAAAAATGATCCTTCAATTAAAATGCCCATTCTATTTTAGGGACCGTTGAGATTAAATAGTGAAAAGCTCTTTCCTCTTATGTTTTTTTCTAGAGAATTCAGATAAACTTAATTGATGGACAATTTTCACACTCTGTATTAAGGCTGCCTTAATACAGCATTATTTTGATTAGAACCAGGCATAGGTGATCAGTATTACTTCCTTAAAAAAACCCAGAAAATTCCAGTTTGTAATTTGGCCTTCTAAATGTTACTGAACTCCAGCTTCCAAACTTCCTGCATACCCAAGCCTTAACCATTAGTGCCAGTGATATCTGGCATTGCATTACAAACGGTTGGAGAACCACATATTGCTTCGCTTCTCCTGTAGATTAAGAGCATGGGCCATAAGCCTATCGAGGGAAGAAGT